GGAAGGATGCTGTGCTATTTCTTGTTGAAATCTGGTAAAAAGGTTAATACGAAATTTTACCAACGAGATATAAGCAATTTGAAACGTCCGCTGTTGAAAAAACAAGCAAAATATCAAAGCAGGTAACATAAGATAAAATTTTCTTATATAACATCCGTCCATCTATCAAAAGGCAAATAACAGTAGCAAAAAGCAATATGTTCAATTATCAACTGAGAAGTGTTAATCCGTGCAAATTTACTACCCACGCTGAAGTCCTTTCGATTTATTTGCATCGGACCCGCCCTTGTGGAGCAGTACTTGACGGCTTGGGAAGTGTGTTGGCCTCAAAAGACGAACAACCAAAAAATGTCCGACAAATAGGAAAAATGTGCATTCATAGCTAGTCATGGGTAGTAGTTTGAAAAAAATAATTGTTTTTGTCAATTATAAACTATTACACTTTAACTAAATATTCTATGAGCTGATGAGGAATTCATGTACCAATAACGTATAGATATTACTCGCTTGTCTTTACAACAACTCTTAGGTATATATATGTCAGCGTAAAAATGGTAATAATGGCTACAACAATCACAAAAAAGCGAATCCCCATCAATGCACTCACCCGTCATCAGTGCAATAACGCAATTCGTACAGTCTATCCTTAGTAATATCATATCATAGCGATGCAATCCATTGATACATAAAATAAAATAATGATATATAAAATATATTTATTTTGTCAATTTTTTTGCTAACTGTGAACCACTGTAAGAAGAATTTTATTAAACTTTCCTTGATACTATTTGCTTAAATTTCATTTTTGCTCAGGTTTTTCAAATTTGTTCACACAATCGCTTTGCTGACCTAATAAAGCGAAATTCTCGGTTTAACTAATTTTTCTTTAAAACAGAAAAGTACATAAAAATCTAGCAAATTTAAGCAAAGAAAATAATACGTTTATGTAAAGGAATTAAAAAATAAAATTTATTTAAACAATACAAGGAAAATATCTTATAAAGTGATTTAATTAAAGACATTTAATAAAATGATTATCAAAAGCAATGGAAATGGACTGTCAATGCAATCAAGGCACATAGGTGAACATATGTGGAAATGTTTATAAAAAAACGATAAAAAATAAATATTTTAATCTAATATTATATTATATTTTCATAAAAATCCCAAGTTATTTTTATGTCATGTTGCTGTCAAATAAAAAAAAAAGCCTTAACAATTGCAAGTAGAACTAAAAAAATTGTCATATCATCTTGTGACGACGAGGCGTAGTGTAGTTTCAAAAATTCATTTATAATTTTACTCAAACAACTTTTGAACGTTTAATATTTAAAATGTTGTTATTATACTACACGAGTACTGTGTTATTGTCGTTAAGTTTCAAAGCTAATAACGACCGTCTGCTGCAAAGCATGGACACTTACGATCGAACACATTTATCCAGTTATGTTTGCATTGCCAATTGCATGCAACGGAAAACTCACTATTCTTCTAGCGTCACAATCGCAATGAACGTTCAACAATCAAACAACACGGTAAGTCTATTAAATTTCAAAGAAATTATATTCTTCTTCAATGAATATCGTCGTCAAAGTTTTAAGAAATAGCAGAAAATGATTGAAACTTTAATCGATCGACGATCCTGAGCCGTGTTAAACGGATAGATACAAGTTTTTTCTTGTCTCTTCCTTGGCAATTTTTTATACCCTACACCGCTTGTTATACAAAGGTGTATTAAGTTTTGCGCGGATCTATGCAACACCCGGAAGGACTTGAGATAGAATCATCTATTATTGTGCCCATCTAAGCTTGTCCGTCCGTCTGACCATCTTGCTTGCTTGTATTTAATTTTGAAGATACCTTGTTGAAATTTCATTCACTCTGTCGTCTTTTCGCCTAATGACAGATCCTATCGAAAGTGGTTCGGTTCGGACCAGTTTTTCCACCACTTCTCCTATAACGATCTAATTTGAAAAGTCGTTCAGTTAAATCAACATCATTGAAAAATTACATTTGTGCATTAATTTATTGGTTGCGACTGTGCTTTTACACTTCAGCTTTAAAGAAAATATTTTTACCTGGAATTTTTACAAATTACTGAGAACACATATGTACGCTACTTTATCTAAAGCGCGTTAGATAATACGCTTATATTCCCTAAAGCGCGATTAGATTATACAAATACATGTTCAATTATTGAAAAATGGGTGCCGTACGACTATATCTGCAATTGATTATTTTACTTTACTATTATACTTTATATACATCATCCCGCGCGTAAGACTTATTTGGTTCAAATTTTACAATGGTTTGCCAATTGTGGACTTGATTATAAAGGGACTATGAGCATAATCAAACTTGAATTGTGATCATGAATTTCTATCGCTTTCTATCGCAATTCAATCGCTGCCGTAATTCTAGACGAAGGTCGTCGCTCTTCAAGCTTAAAATTATTGAATAGTCCATTCGATTCATTGGGAACCATCTCTGAGAAACATTTAAGCTACGAACAGATAATTCATTTATTTAGTGCATTTACTCTAAGAATAGCTTCAGCGACACACATAGCCGTTCACATTGCCTGAGTGATCGGGCAGGCTTACGATCTCGGCTCAATGGTTGTGCGGGTACAGTTTTCAATAAAAGCCGATGATAGCGTCAAATCCTAGTGCTTTAAGACTTTAGTCTTTCAATTTATTACTCTGCCTAAATTAATTATAATAATCTTACGAAATTCGTTTTTATCGCATACGATTCGTATCGCTAGATCGTGGTTCTTCTAACAGAAACACACTTCGACTACATTTTTCACTTAAAGATTCTTTAAGGACTATTTACATTTTACTTTGGCAATACTCTTGACTTCTCAACTCTAATATTCTTGTTCTACTCAAATGTCCTGATCCGACAGACTCAGCCTTCCGCAAGTAGTCTGTTTACATACATCTTCACAAGCATATTACTATTATCTAAGTTTATGACTTTATTTTCAATCCGTTAACCTGCGTCGGCAGCTGCATGACGCGCCGTGAATGTGCACTTGGGTTTTCCCTCTCTACGGAATTTATTATTTGGGATAATCAATTAATTGGAGTGAATGATTTCCGTAATACATTTCCATAATGCATGGCATTAAAAAAAAAAACTTGTTAGATTTTATTATATAATATCTGACCTTGCACATACATATAAACTTGTAGTGTTTGTTTGGTGAATGGAAGAATAATTGAAAACAAATAAGAAAAAAGTTCGGTCGTAACCAATTCGTTTATGCCCACCATTGTTATCATGAAAAAGACTAAAAAAAAAGAAACGGAATTAAATTTTCATATTCTATAGCATTGGATGTGCGCGGCTGATTTTTCCTACATCCAGAATAAAGATGGAAATTTATAAGGTGTATATGTTGTACTCTACGAGCAATAAGCAAAAAACGCGAGTCTACAGTGTTTATTGCATTGGCGTGTGAACGTTGCAGGCATGTCCTCTGTCGCGTGTCATTTTCAATTATTTTTCAATCACTTTTGTGAGCGGGAGATGCTACACAGCTGCGCAGACAGCCAATAAATTGTATACTTTGTGGAATTTTCGAGACTTGCTTCCGCACATAATAAAGTTATTGAAAGAATATTAAATTTTCATTGAGATGGCCAATGTTCCCCATTTTCATACAGCAGTGCTACAGCATTCGCCATAGAATATATATTCAAATTTTTGTACACTTATCTCTTATAGTTTAAGAGTAATGGGCAAAAACACACTTTTTGATTCCCTTTGAAAAGAAGGATTGTTGTCAGTTTACTTTGTCCTTCAATTGAATTGAATTGATCCATTTCCGATATCAAAACCTGCATGCAATATATCTGCCGAAATTGAAGTTGATAGCTTTATTGTCCCGGGCCAGGAGAATGTTTACGTAGACGGACAGACGTGAAGTTTCCGAAGCTTGCCTGCTGTCATTGCAAACGTTTTGACGTAATGAATGTATCCTCCTCCCTCGAATAACAACCAAAGTTAGGCTATCTTTACAATTCCATCTATATATCATGGGCGTTACGTGCAGGGTTTTACACGTTCTTCTTGACATTTCATTGCTGTGTTTTCTTTTTGCTGACTAAACAGAAAAATTGTAACGATCGAAGACAAATCGAATAAACCGAATAAATTTTAAGATAATATCGATATCGAATATTCGATTCGAATATGCGATTCTTTGATGATTTTACAAGTTTGAGCGGCTTTTTCAGTCAAAAATCGGTGTAAACTCTATACATTTTGGTTATCTTTATTTAATATGTTAAATGCAAGCGATCGGTTGCAGGTCCTAGTATCATTGAAAACACAATTTGTTGCTCAAAATTTCATTAAGAGTCTACTGCCATTTGAGAAACTTACGAGTTAACTCGTTGCCAGCAACTGAAGATTTTGTTTTTTTTCGTGTTCTTTGCAGGCTTTCCATGAATGCGTTGAATATTGCGATGTCACAAATATTGCGCAGACAGGTAATTATAAAACGATTAGAAAAGTACAAGAAAACTATCATCTTGACTTGGTCTGTCGCGATGATAGTACATTAAATTTTCGCGTAAATCTCTATGCATTAAATAAAACCGGAACGAATGCAACAATGATGGCCCAAAATGGGAAAGATGTACAAATTTTTACCATATATGTGGTTAAATTACATATATACAATAATGCTGAAAAATATTTTATATTTCTGGTAAGTTTCACTGACGATTCGCTAAAGGGAAAAAAGACTTCTTATGCGATTTATTTTCTTCAAAGTCGGACGTGAACTTTTTCACTTTTGATAAGTTGTTGTCAAATACACTCTACAATGTCACAACAATGGCTGTCCATTCCAGTAAGAAGTACTCAATTATTGCTAAGCAGCAACAATTTCGCACATTAAGGCGTGGCTATATACCTAATAATATAACGGATATAAAAGTAACAAATTTTACGTTAAATTACGTTAACGGAATGTATTTAATAGCTGCTATCACTTGGAAGCCGGGTAAGGGTAAGTGAAATTTAATCAATCAATTGTGCCTTTTATACCCAACGATTGGAGATATATTCTGTCAAAACGTTTACAACGCCCGCAAGGATGTATGTGCATTCTTGATCAGCATCAAATTCTGAATCAGTTTAAGCACATCCTTCTTTCCGTCTGTCCATTACTCGCACAAAATCAAAATATTACTATTGCAGCCTTATTTTTGCTTAGTTCACATTCGTAAAAAGTTTAGGGTTAACCTATTAGGTTCATAATTTGGAAATTCGTGTTTGCCTTCTATGTAAAGACTATCATATTCCCCGTTCATTATATCCACAGACCACAATCTATGGAACTACACCGTGATCATATCCGTGCCGCTGATAGCGGTAAAATGTCATTGAAATTCTAAAAAATAGCCAAAAGAACAGAGAGGCCGCAAACGGGACCACTTTCATTATACTAATCAATTCATCACCATTTTCGGAAATGATCTAAGCACGTCTGTTTGTCTGTCTGCCTATTCCTGTTCTTGTGTCCAGTGACGTGTTTCGGCCCAAGGACGAATTCTTTTGGAAATGCATGGGAGCGGACCACCTTGCCAGCTGCTCCCGTTATAGCGCCTTACTTTAAAAATTATAGTTTGAATACGAGAATAATTTACTTTAAACTCAACTCTAGTAGGTCTACTTGCTGGGCACCATAGCAATAAAGTAATCCCTTTCACGCAAAAAGTGTCTAATTTTTAATATTTAACCTGAAAGAGTTTCCTTAATAGTAATTTGATATAAAAATAAGTATAGATCGGTACCGAATCTCTAATGCCTATCACCGTTCACCTCAAAAAAAGACAAAAGAAGCAGGATAGACGGTCAGGCGGACATGCTTAAATCGATTTAGAATTTGATGTTGACCAAGAATATATATATTTTCTGGGGTCTCCGATGCTTACCGTGATGTTTTGGGTACCTTTCCGTGCGATGTCTTTCATGAAAAGTATGATTTTACAGGAAAGGTATATATAATTATTTATGGTATTATCATTGTCAATCTGAATGAATAACTGTATTAGCCAAAACGGTGCAGGATATTTGTTGGTGGGTCTCACCCGGCTGTAAGGTTTTTACTTTGATTTGTAAAAGTTTTTATACGTATACTACACTTTCAGTCTTTCGTTTGCTTACTACTTTTTTCCCGTCTTTTCTTTCGCATTTTACAGATATGACTTGTTTCTATGACATAATATGTTTTTCGCCGGAAAATGAGAATTACGATTTACACCCTTGGGAGATACGAAATGTGAGATATAAAATATATTTGCTTTCATCATTTCATAGTTCTATGCATGTTTTGCCAAGGAATAAGGGGAATAGAGAAACAACTGGAATTCTTGCCTTGTCTGCAGCATTCGAAAATAGCTAAGAGTGAATCTGTAGTAAAGAATTCAAGTCAATTTACTTACAGTTCTCTCTCTCTCTCTCTCTCTCTCGAACTAATTTTACAAAAACAACTTTAGCAACGGCCTGAACTCTCTCACAGAAATTTCTATGTTAAAGGCATAATCTGCAAAAATGTTAAAAGAACTGTCTTCCGACATGCTACTAAAGCTTTTCAAAAATAACCCTAGTTTCCCGATCGGCTCAAATATTTAACAGAAAGTTGTTTGTAATGGTGAATATGAACAATTTTTAATCCAAAGTCAAGTATGCTCTTGGTTCAGGGCTTAAAGACCGCCTTTGAAGCCTAGTTTAAAAATATTATTAACTTCAACACATAAGCACGAGTAGTAGTATGTAAACTAGGACAAACTTTATAGAGTTGAGGTCTCAATCAAAAAACGGAAACGATTTACTACGAAAGAAAAAATACATCTTGAAATTTCGTATACTAAGCTTCTTCCGTTTTCTGACTTCGCTGATTACGCGTGTGCTATGTGCTGCACTCGGACCACCAAGCATCAAACAATAACAGGAATAAATAAACTGGAATCGATATTTCGTGGCTGTGAATGCAAAGCAATGAGGCTCCGATTTAAAATCTACCATTTAAAGATCATATCTTCGATTCTCCATTCTAAGAGTTGGATCCAATTTAAAACCGTGTCTTCACTTTATCATTAGGATTATCAAATGTAAACTTACAGTTCCGGTGTACGGAAACATGAATTTCTTGAATCACATTAAGGTCGCATACAAGCAAGATCTTGTTATTTCTTTGCGCCATAGATTTTTTCATTAAATTTAAACATGTCTCTATCTTTTTTGATTTCGAGCTAATCTGAAAAATCTCCCTGCATGTAATAGTTCTTATGAAAAGTAAGATTTTATAATAGAAAAAGATTCAAATCTTATTACTTTATAATGATAACTGGTCCACAATATTGAAACCGATTTGGACCACAAAATCCTGCTATTTTCCGGAGCCCTATTCCATATTAGACTTCTCATGTGTAGGATATGACGGCCTGGATATTATTAAGGCAACAACTATTTTTAAATTTTTACCTCTCAACGATGCTCGTTGGAAAATTAATTAATAAAAAAGTCTTATTTAATTTTTCACTTTTTTTTTTCACATCAAAAAGCCTCAGCTTTTGTATACGTATCAAGTGGAGAATTTATCATTTTCAACAACTTATAAAATAGGTATACGCGCCAAAAGCACGAAAGGTATTAAAGAAAGCGAATTGTATTGGAAAAGCTTTCGTACACCAACGTGCGAGGAATGGTTTAATTACAATTTCAATATATGCGGTAAGAATAATTAAAGGTTTTTTTCTTCTTCTTTTTTTTTTGTGTTTTATTTATTATATGCTGCACATTAATTTTGTAGAACCTTTGCCGCCGCAAAATTTAAGCGTTCAACAAATTTACGTTGCTTACAATACCTACGGCTTAAATGTAAGTTGGTCGTTGCCGCAGCATTTGCCGGATAATTATACTCTTATAGTCTATGACCTTTCTTCAGAAAAATTATTAAAAACAATCAATTTATCCAAGGTATGTAATACAATTAAAGGTATGTGTAATAACACTAAAGGCAGCCATATGTGGTTTTAAAAACGTATCACTAAAATTAAATACTTAAGTATTTTTTCTACAATATTTTCTTAACCGTTCATTCCTCAACCATAAAAAGAAAAATGCTCAATGTCCAAAATTTTTTTTGTTACCATTTGTGGTAAAAGGGTACATTCAGTTTATTGCGGGCGTATGCAACAGCTAGAAGGAGTTAAGAAAGACGCACCTTTTATTGTGACGATAAATTCAGTTTCACTTTTTCCATCTAAACTTGTCTGTCCATCTTTCGAACCACTTTTGCAAGAGGCAGTTATTGAGATATTTTGATGAAATTTGGTCCACCGAAATATTTTAGCGCAAAGGCGAACCATTTCCCATATATAATATATATTTAATGGTGGAGTAAGTTCCACTATAGCGTTTACATTTGTTAACATAAAAGTAAATAAACTTGGGCCGAAGCTGAAAGCAATTTTCATACCAGTATATATGTAGGACATATGTTCTCGAGAAGTGTGAGAGATTTATCCACCAACTAAGCCCTTTAATACTGCTACTCGCCCTCGTCAATTCTTGTTCCCACTTGCTCGTCTTGGAACTACATGAACACCGTAGGAGTCATGATTCTTAAATCACAGCACGCCCTGGGAACAATCTACCGGCAATAGACATTGTCCCCTAGACATATTTTTACATTTTTAAGTTGAAAGTACACCACTATTACTCCATTCTTCTCTCCCTCGCTGTCTCTAATTCTTCCCATTAGCATCGTACTTGGCGGTATGAGAAAATCTACTCTATCAGTTGTCCCGCAATCACTAATATGCTTCCAAAACACCAATTTTTATTACAATATGTTAGGTATATGAGTTTTGAAGAAATCTCAATTTGAAATCCAGTCAGTTTGTATAGGGATAAAGTAAGACCATTAAGTGCTAAAATAGGATTATATAGGGGACGTAATTTTTTGAGAAATCAAAATTCTCCTTACTTATGGAAGGAGACCCGTAACGCTAGTTTTTAATTCACTAAAGTGAATTTGAGTCGCTTCCATCCTGCAAGTCAAATAATATAATCATTCCGAAAAGTTCATAAATTACAAAAACTGACCTATTTCCGCATCCTTTTACGTCCTGAAATACAAATCGAGTGTATGTCGCGCAATTTAATTTTTGCGAGTTTTTGATCATTTCCTTAAGAGGCACATAAAAAGTTCTCGATTTCTTATGCAAGTATAAAACAAAGAGTTAAAGACAAGCGTGTGCGCAGCGTCTCCAGTGGAAAAAATTTAACTAATCAAAGCTGTGTTCAGCTTATTTGTGTTTTTGTCCGGCAGCATGCTAATAAGTAGAGTAAAAAATGAGACGAGGGCCAATCTATTTTGGACAAATGGAGCGAAGTTTAAGACGATTTATTGGACAAGCTGGTAACTGTTTCGATGGAACATGGCCTACCTAAGAACAACGAAAGACTCGAAATTTAGTTCTCTATTGCATTCTTCGACTACTGTCACCGGAAGTCTACCGTAACGATATTCAAAACGATCATGTGTATGTCGACCATGTTACGAAGCGATCGTGAACATTACTATTGGGAGGACAAAACTAACGCAAGTAATTTTGAGCCACGGAGATTATTGTTAAATGAAGTCGAAAATGTAACAATTTGGCTGCGCACACTCTTGTCATTTAATCGCTGCTTCGTAGACTTTCTAAATACGGTTCGCTAGACCAAAGTAGCCATATTAGGCCTAACGGAAAGTTCTGCTCGCTTTCTTAGAGAATTCTAGCTTCCGAATATGGTCCGAGATGGTTTGTCGAGTGGAATCAACCTTGTCCGCTATCCCCCATGTTATCAAGAAACGTTTTCGCTCTAACATGATCTCGACGGTATCGTCAGCTATCAAAGATGGCCGTCCAGAGCGTGGCTTATCGGGAAAGTCGAAACTAAATACTTTCCACAGGCAGCACGTTGGCGAAGTGAAGGTGGGAAATGAGCAGTGGTCATGCGTATGAGATCGAATCTCGCTTTAGTTCACTTCCTACGTCAGTATGAATGAATGTGTGTATACTTGCTGAAACTTGTTGTGATCAGAATGGACAGAGTTTTTTCGTCGAACTATTACTTTCGGCAGCGGGCACAAGAATACATTTTTTTGCAGAGCAGACAAAAATTTAATTTTCTTCCATTTGTTTTAGGAAACTTGCAATATTTATATATCAAATATTACCATAACCGGTATGCTATATGAAGTGTCTGTGACCGCCTTCACTTTGGGTGGCAGAGCAACGACAACATTTACCGATTTCATAACAACACGGACCCACATGTCGGATGATCCCTTAAGTATTTTCGCGTTCTATTATAATTATTGCCTATAACAAGACGTGAATAATCATTCGTTTTATTTCTTTCATAACAGAAAAAATGAATTCTATAAAGTTGCTAGCATTGCTATTGGCTTTAATATTCTGCTTGGCCGTATTAGCGATAACTGTGTTCGTATTATATCAACGTCGTTTAAGGCTAAAGCATTATCAGCAACGTTGTGAATATCTGGAGGTAAATAAGCAAAAAGTACAAAAAGCAAAAAGGAGCTGCTGTTGAATAACTAATCTGTTCTTTATTTCTTTTTCCATCTATTTGCAACACGTAAAGAAGATCGGAAAAGTCGCCGTAACCACAAGCAATATGAATGGAGAAAGTAACCCACAAGTAACAACAACTACAGCTTTTAATTTACAATATCAACTGGACTTGAAAGGAAACGTTCAAAGTGACGATGGATTAAAAATCGCTTCCGATAATTTAAAATTATTCGAAGTTTTAGGTGAGGGAGCTTTCGGCGTGGTACGGCGTGCTCTGTACAAAGATGAAAAAACCGGCATCCAACGTGAGGTTGCTGTTAAAATGTTGAAAAGTTAGTTTAGTTAAGCCGAACTTTTCTGAAACATTCGATTATTTAATTATGTTTGACACTTAGCTCATCCCAGTGTTGACGATGTGCGAGCATTGCTCCAGGAAATCGGGGTTATGAGATCGGTTGGTAAACATCCCAATATTGTTAGCATTATCGGTTACAATATTCGACATTACACTCAAATGATGCTTTTAACCGAATACTGCAGTTTTGGTAGTCTATTAAGTTTTCTAAGGTAAGTTTTTGACTAAATTTTACAACAAACCTATAGCAAAAGACAAATAGACCCTTTATTATTGAATAATGACGATAATTAAATGCTGTAGAAAGCTTCACCCAATATAATTACTGATAATACGCCAAAAATTACACTTTATTTTCCGGTAAAGGCATACTTTCTATACCGGGCAACCTTTATACCGGGTAGGGTGCAATAAATTGACTCAGGTGATCCGGATTCAATGCAATTAATTTTTATGCCCAATTTTTTGTACGAATCAATTTTCATAACAAAATATTAAGAAGCAAATCGTTTCACTATATGAACGCTTAGACTTCGTGAACACCTTTACAAAGTGTAAGGTCCAATCAGCAGACATGCGTGGTCCGACATTTCATTTCTATGTTAATTAACATTCCCCAAGAAGTATTGAAAAGTATACCTTTTTAACATAAGGCGATTCGATTTCCGCGACTTGTAGGCTGGTCACAAAATGACATTGGCAAAAATCTGACAGATAGACAAACTTAGATCGGTATAATGAAACATGGATTTATTTGACGTTCATCTGCGTCTTACACATATTCGTCCGAGAAAACTTACACAAGTGTAAGGTTTTTTGGAATTGAAGTAATGTAAAAGAAGGAAAAATAAGAAAAGTCAAGTGTAGAGTTCCAGAGCCCCTAGACAAGACCTGGAAGCTGCTGATCGCGTAGGCAGATTCTAATCAAATTTGGAATGGATATAAAACATGTAAATAATACGGATATCGACTGTAGTGAAATGTTTTTTTGTAATGGTTTAACAAAAGCTCTTGAATGCTTCTAATAATACCCTACATAATATGCTCAATGCACTCAAATATGTTCACGACGTCTCGTTCAATAAAAATTTATTTATATTAAGTTTTTGCAGACGTGTTTACGATGGAGAAGGGCTTAAGATACACCCGCCTTTTATTAAATCGATCGATTTAGAAAATCATTCTGAGCCTGTCTGTCCGACTGTTGTCCGTCCACGTTAATTTGTGTTCAAGCTACATTTCGTAATTTTTGAAATATTTTATGAAGTTCGGTACACTGACTTGTTTTGGCCCGAGGACGAGCCCTATTGAAAATGCTTTGAATTGTTCCACTTTTTCGACCACTCCCCATAGAGTGGCAAAAGATTGCAATTTTCACAATTTCTCGGCAATAGTGGTTACGTAATAGTATCTCGCCATTCGAAATTGGTATTAAAACTGGTAGAATTTTTTGAACCCCTTCTCATATAATGAAAACTGAAGTTCATAAAACAAAATAGCGTTATTTTCAACGCTCCATGATAAAAATCGGATCATAATAGTAGTTTAAGATAAAAAATTTAGCTGTACCAATTTTGGATGCTCTCAATCTATTTCTTGGACTACATCCTTTATACAAATTTTCACGCACATCGATTCTTTGTATGGCAGAAAAGTCTACATTTTAATACGTTATGACGAAACTGGACACATAATAGTAATTTAGATAAAAATTGGATCACCAATACCTATTTTAAGGTCCTACCCTATATAAGAATTTGGATGAAAATTTTTGTTTTTTTAAGGTCGAAAAGTTCAAATTTTATTATTTTATGATAGAGATTGATCCATAGTAGTAGTTTGATATAAAAATGAACTATGCTGAATTTTGAACACGTAACATAATTTTTGAATCTTTTAAAAGTAGGCTTTTGTTTGCGTAAAGGTCTAATTTTTAATATACAGTTCCGTAATAGTAAGTGCATATAAAAACAGGGTATAATTTTTGTGTTCTATGGCAAAAACAAGAATGGTGTTAGATAACGTATTGTACGGTATTTAAGAGTCGGTCTAGCTCGACTGTAATGTTTCCACTTGTTTTGTTTTTTTGATTGTGTTTTGCTTTTTATATACTCCATATTTTATTTATTAATTAGTTAATAGATATTAAAACAAGTGAAAACACTATAGCGGATCACAGTCCACAATTAAACACCATAGAATAGAAGTAGTCGAAAAAGCGGTACGATCCGAATTATTTGCAATAGCGTTCGTCCTTTGTACCAAAGTTTATGAAGGTATGTTGAAGATGGTGACCTGTAGATTGAACCCCAAATAAATAAGGCGGACAGAGGGCGGATAGAATGGACGGAGAGACAAGCTTCAGACGATTCAAAAAGTGATGCTCAATCGTTCGGTATGAAGCAAGGTAGGTTTATCGCAAATTCTTCTGGGTGTTACACACATCCGCACAAATTAGAGCGTAGAAAAAAGAAATTATTTATATAAAGGAAGGAAATAACATTGTTATAAATATAAAATATATATATATTGACGGTTCCGTTTTTTTCATTTTTTAGAGCCGAGTGGCGTTACTTGTGTGAACAGAAACAAAAACAGCACGTGCGAAGCGGTTACAAATTGATGATGCAACAATTTGAAACTAAATTGCCAGGTATACCAGAATTAGAAGAAGATTATGAACTGATAACTCGAAATAAGAACATAGCCAACATCGACTATAAGATTGATAGTTTTCAATTAAATACCAAAGAAGAACACGATGTCATAACCTCAACAGAAAAAACAACTGCAGCAACCATAAAGGCAACGTATGCAAGCATTCCGTGTCTTGATAAAATTGCCGTCAACAGCGTGTTACAAAACGGAGACTACTTGGAGAAAGATGAGGTTAGAGATTAAATTTAAAAGTTATTTTAACTAACAATAAACTACCATGGACTTCGACGCTATTCAGGGTGTGAGTGTGAGTGGAGGCAGGCAACGAAGTAAATTAGAAAAAAAACATGTATCGTACTTTCAAGGAAACCAGCAAAAATTTAAGAAAAATATTCGATTAAAAAGTATGGCTGTTGAAAATAAAGCATATTTTAATCTATCATACAAACAAATAGGACAGCAAAAGCCCCCAACTGCTTACTTAAGCGCAGCAACGAGAAGACCCTTAGCGACAACGGATTTGCTAAATTTTGCCCGACAGATTGCCGTAGGGATGGTGAGCTAAATGGAAAGATCGCTTACATTTTTATATGACAATTGTCTTTAAATCCTTTAGGAATTTCTAGCTAAGCATAAAGTTGTCCACCGTGATTTGGCGGCGCGAAATATCTTAATAGCCGCCGACTATACTGCGAAGATTGCAGATTTTGGGTAAACATACTCTTTGCAAAAAAATAAAAAATCCAATCTCCACTTTCTATTTATATGGCCTTTTTCCAGCTTAAGCCGTGACATTTACCACGAGAATGTCTACAAGAAAGTCGGTAATGGAAAACTGCCCATAAAATGGTTAGCCTTAGAATCATTAACACATCAAATTTACACAACCGAAAGGTATTTTTTAATACAATTTACAAGAGTCACTTGTCAATTGATATAAAAGGGAAAGAGAATTCATTGCCACTAACATATATATATATATTATATTATATTTAATAAATGTTTTCTGTGGAGGGATGAGTGGGAAAGATGCAAAGGCAGTTTAAATTGGTCTTGGATAGTCTTTTAACGACGGATATACAGGGAAATCTCGAAATTAAAAAATGTACAAAAAAACACCAAAAACCTATATATAGACATTATCTATAATATTATATATATAAAGCTTATGCATATATACAATATCTAAATGTAAAATCAAAGTCAGAAATAATACTTACCGATCTCTTCTCTCTCTGTTACCTCACTGCTCTCTAACCGTCACCGTGTTGCACGAATTTAAAGTGATGTGTAAGTGAAGTTTTCTTATCGTTAAGTTGCAGAACTGAATTCATATTTCGTTCGTTTTTTTTTTTTTTAAACTTTAGCTGGTCTTATGGTATTTTGCTATATGAAATTGTAACGCTTGGCTCGGCGCCGTATCCTGCGGTAACCACAAGTCGCCTATTGAATTTTCTGAAAGCAGGACATCGTATGGAGAAACCAAAGCATTGCACTCAAGAGATGTAAGTGTAAAATTTAATTGACTTTTTTTTTTTTTTTTTTGATTTTTTCGCGATGCGATTGTATAAATTTGCTCTGTATATCAGCTATGATTTAATGTATTCCTGTTGGCATGAGCTAGCCAGCCAACGGCCGTCATTCGCAGAAATAATCAAAACATTGGATAAACTTACATATCATTCCAATATTATTGATGATATTAAACTTAAAATGAAACGGTAAATTATGATTACTTAATTGTTAGTGCAATAATATGGATAACAAACTTTTCAGTTGTCCCCCTCGATCACCATTCATATCAAGAGATCGTCGCTATTTGAAGCCTTTATAAATATTTTCAACATATTTCGTGCAGAGATAAAACTCTCAGAGGTCTCTGTCTATATGCTCCAGAGACGGACGACAAGTCAACTCCTAGAAGCAACCAATTTTTTACATTCTATCGACCACTACTACTATAGAGGATTGTCTTTCATACGGAATTTTATGTCTGCCACAAGAAATACATAACCTGTCTCTCTTGCATCTCTGATTGACTTAATTTCTAAAAAAGGAGAGAAATTTCATTGCTAATGCAATTAAATTGAGACGATATTGCAACTTAATACACACAATGAAGTCTACGAAAATTACATCATTTTTATTAATAGTTAACTATTTTAACATAAAATTATTGTAGAGATTGTTGTAATAAATATCCGATTTCGCAATCGGTTGTATTCCATGTGTCAGTTATCATTTATTTAGACCAAGGAAATCAATTCTGGGACTAAAAGTGGAACGAACACTAACAACGAAGACTATCACAACTTTTTTTTGCAAAGCTAAATTACATCATACATAAAATCCCTCGTTCAATACGCTACGGTCAAAGACAATTGGATACGATATAATACGATTTCAAAAAATCGAATATATATTCCGTTGAATTTTTATACCCTAAACTACTCTTAAGTTTGTGTGAATGTGTGCAATACTCAGAAGCACTTGAAATATATCCACTTTTTATTACTGAATCGATAATCGATTTCTGGAAGGAAAAATCGTTACGAATCGCTGGCATGTTTTCAAGGCTTTTTCTAGCGGCTTTCGCAGGGATGTCGTATATACTAATTTTAGTAACGCGTTTGACTTAGTTAACCATGACTTATTGATCTTCAGACCCCAGACCTCTGGCTTCGCTTTGTACTTAGAGAAATGGATGAGCTCTTACCTGCATAACAGATCATTCAGTGTTCTGCTTAACTTCATCACCTCGGATGAATTTCCTATGACGTATCAGCTTTAAACTGGCATAAATAAACACTGGTTACATGGTATTCGTTAAATTTTATGTAATTAAATCCAAAGAAATGCAAGAAGCCATCTTTCTTAGGAAGGTAGTCATTCGGTACTGAGTATTTCATTGATTCACACAAGTTGGAAAACGTTAATTCGTTTATTCGACCAATTCGAGATTATGTTCCAGTTTGCCTTTTGAGCTTTCTTTAAGTAAAGCTAGGTACGCGCTTGATTTCATTAAGAGGTGATTCGAAGAGCTGAAGGATCCTTACATCACAAAAAAGCAATAAATGTGCTTAGACGAATACTTGAGTAGGCCTTTGTTGTCTGGTCTCCTTCCGATAGGCGTTACTTAGATTCAATTGAATATATATATTTAAACTAAACAGCTAAAATTGAATAAAGTATAGACTTAGACTAAACAGGTGCTGTTTACTGTTATCGGTTTTTTGCAATCAGTCTTAGCAATGGATTACACGTTCATTTACAACTTGGATCTGTACTGGTTATGGGTGTGCGTTTGTGCTAGTTGTGTACATGCTTTTTTCCTTTTTTTCTTTCTAATATGAATTATTATTTTTTTCTTTTTTCTTTTTACTTCTTCTTATGGGTTCAAATCTCAAGTGCGGTAGAGTTTTTAATAAAGCCGAAAGCCTTAGATGCTAGTGCTTTTAACACTTTAGTCTTAGAATTTATTTTCTTTCTAAATTTTTAATAATAATAATAATAATAATAATAATAATAAGTAAATAAATAGACGCCTTAATGAAAAATTTTCTATCGGAAAAATTCAAATGTGCAACAAACATAAGAGAGACACAAGAGAGACAATGTCAGGAATATTTCCACATCTAGGAATCCACATGAGAAGAAGATTAAGAGAAGAAGGGATAGCAAGTCATTATTTCTGCTGTTTTTACACCCTATACCATCTGTTATACAGTTTATGCGAACGTATTGACCACACAGAAGTGCTTAAGACACACCCATCTTCTTTTATATATTCGCAATTAATTTCTGAATCGGTCTAAGCTTGTCCGTTCGTTTAATGTCTGCCTGTCTGTTCGTTTTGTGTTCAACTTACAGGTCGCAAATTTCGAAATATTTTGATGAAATTTGATACATTGATCCGGTTTGATCGGATTGGTCCATCTTTACGAGCACACTCGCTTTATATTGAAAAGACCCCCAAAACGTTGCAATTTTCAAAATTTCTCGACAAAGATCACTAAATAATAGTATTTTGACATTCGAAATTGGTATGAAAAATTTGGTTCGGCTGCGGCAATTTTTTGGTTCCACTCTTCGGTATATCATGGTGAAAAATGGCTCATAATAGTAAAATAACAAGGAAATTTGGAGAACATGGTGTACTTTTTGGATACCACCCGCATTCAAGAATTCTCGACCGATGTAAATCCTTATACGCCAAAAGGCCTAATTGTCTTATGAGGAAAATTTGTTCAAGATAGAAATTTGACATAAAAATCAAGTGGACCAAATTTGAGTCACGTAGATCATTTTCTTGAACCGCCGCCCCTGTAAGATTTCTCATAATTAGTAAGCCGTTCATAAAAAAAAATGTAATTTTTATTATTTTATGATGACAATGGATCCTTAATAGCAAATTAACCAAATATATATTCTATATATAAAATATTTTTTATACCGTAATATATATTAGGGGTTTATTATCAATGCGAGAAAGTATAAATTCTAGTGCTCTATGATGGAAACTGGAAAATAATATAATTTTTGAGAAGTGAATTAAGTTTGCTAAACTTGAGTCAAGTCATATGATGTTTTGTGCATCCTCCATCCGTCTTTACGTGAAAATAATGCCCAATTTTTTATGTATTATTACCAAAAGGAGCGATTAATTATATTAGGCGAACTGGTGTAGAGGTGTTTAATGGCCGGCCTTGCCCGACTTACTTCTTACTTGTTTATAGTGCCAACAACAGAAAGTCAGTCTGTACATATTAAAAAACTTTGTTTCTTTTGTTACGAGTTGCTTTGGTTAAGGTAGAATGGATGGCGACCACCTTCGCAAAAAGCGTAGAGGCGCAACTAAGAAATAGTGGGAGAGGTTACGCAAAATAATTGATATTTTGATTGAATTATATCCAAAACTACAACAAATAGCATCACTTCACTAGTCAGTAAAATCATCCCCAACTTTCGTTTGACTATCGCATCGTTATCACTTGATCTTGTAGTTGGAAAAGCTGGTCCATATAAGTATTTCTAGCTTACTTGTGACAAGCGATAAGAATGATATAAAAGAAATTATAGAATAATTGCTTTAGGCCAATCACAAAATACGTTACACACACGAACCATTTCATTTAAAACAATTACATAAAATTTTCTAATGAAATACCAAAGAATACAGTATAGTACGGGAAAACTTGATTGGAAAGAAAGTGAGCAAATTATAAATAATTTAAATATTAAAAAATTTTAATAAATCTATTTTAACCAAAGAATACAATGACAAGGAATACTTATAAAGTACAAGATTATTTTATTTATTTATTTATTTATTTTATTCCACTTATACTAGAAACTCAACTAAACAAGTAGCAGTCGAGTTCAATAGGCTCTTAATGCAAAACTAATATTAATTAACAATAAAATTGAGTATAAGCATAATAAAACAAATAAGAAGAGAAAAAAAAAGAAAAAGAAAAAAGAAAAAAAAAAGCATGTACACTATCAGCATAGGAGCACACTTACAACCGGTACAGGACCAAATTGCAAATGAACCCCTAAGCCATCGCAAACATGCATAAGCCTGGCAACCGATAATAAATTAACAATAATTCACTTTCGAAACGTAACGACTTTTTAAGGATGAAAGCTAGTTTAAATACGACATAGGTAAATCGCGCGTATTAAGCAATGTTGCTTTAATGGACTTTAAAGAGTCCGATAACGAGAATAAGTGGTAGACGTCATTTAGGTTCTTGCAAACGACTCTGAGCGGATTGAACAGCTCATAATTAAATTTACACTGATTAAGCTTTACCAAGATAAAGTGCCTAGAGAAGCGGTTAGGGACATTGAAGCTTACTTCACCAAGTAATGAAGGCGAGTCAATAGCACCATTTATTACTTTAATTAGAAAGGAAACGCCAAGAACAAATCTACGTTTCTCAAGAGACGGTAGGGACAGCAGAAGCAACCTATTTTCATACGGAGGAAGAGAGGCAATCGGATCCCAACCCAAATTTCTAAGGGCAAACAGCAAGAATTGCTTTTGAACTGATTCAATTGAATCTACGTAGCACCTATATGAAGGAGACCACACAACTGAGGCATACTCGAGTATGGGTCTAACCAAACACATGTACAGCCTTTTCGTAATGTAGGGATCATCAAGCTCTTTGGACCACCTTTTTATAAAACCAAGCGCGGACCTAGCTTTGCTAATCGAGAGCTCAATATGCAAGTTAAAACGTAACCTATGGTCAAATAGGACGCCTAAATCCGTAATCGAATCGACGTCCTCCAATTTATGCGAATCTATGAAATACTGAGTAATGAATGACTTTCTTCTTGAGAATGAAAGCTTCTTACATTTACTCAGATTTAGTTGCAGGAGATTCAAAGAGCACCATGTAACAAAATTATCTAAATCACCTTGAAGCTGATGTGATTGCGATTCAACAGAGAAGGAAGAAAACAGTTTCACATCATCAGCATACATTAAGATCTGGCTGGAATTAACCACCGATGGGAGATCGTTAATGTATAAACTAAATAAAATGGGACCCAAGTGACTTCCTTGAGGTACGCCAGACGTAACGGGGAATTCATCCGAGCTAATGAAGTTAAACAAAACTCTGAAGGATCTATTGTGCAGATAAGAGCTTATCCATTTCACTAAGTAGGGTGGGAAACCAGAGGCTTGGAGTTTAAAGATAAGTAGTCTATGGTTAACCAAATCAAATGCTTTGCTTAAATCAGTGTAAATAACATCTGTGCGAGAGCCACTAGAAAAAGCCTTGAAAACATGACAGGTAAACTCTAACAAGTTGGTGACTGTAGATCGCCCTTTCCGAAAGCCGTGCTGGTGCGGAGAAATATACGAATTAATGGCAAAGGCTAAATGCTGAGTCACAATACGCTCGAACAACTTGGGCAAGACACTCAACTTGGCTATGCCTCTGTAGTTCTCAACAAATTGTCTACTTCCACTCTTGTGGATAGGAATAAGGAAACTACTCTTCCAACATGAAGGGAAAACACCTGAACACAAGGACATGTTAAAAATCTTTGAGATCACACCACACAACTCGACAGCGCAAGATTTAAGTACACATGATGGAATTCCATCAGGTCCAGGCGAACAACTGTATTTTAGAGAACTTAACCCTTTGAAAACATCATCTTCCGAAATAACCAAGTTAGGTATTGAAACCGAGTTAGTTATAGGATATGGGTAGTTTGCTGATAACTCAAAATTAGCAATCGAAAAGTTTCGTCGGAAATACTCAGCAAATAGATTTGAGATTTCAAAATCATCCGAGGAACCAGAGCCATTAAAAGAAACATGAGAGGGATATGTGGAAATTTTTCTTTTAGAGTTAACAAATTTAAAGAAGAATTTAGGATTAGCAAACAGAGAGGATTTAATGAACTGAAGGTATCTGCAGTAATAATGATGGTTGAGGGAGTTAAATCTATGCCTCGCCACCGAGTAAGCGAAATAGTCACGCGCAGAGCCACTTTTCGAATATTTTTTGAATAGCGAGTTTTTTCTATTCTTGCGATATTTAATTGTCTTATTAAACCACGGGGGACATCTGCTTCGAGGTCGACAATGCTTGATCGGAACAGATGCAGCAATAGCTAGATTTAATGTATTGTAGAACGATGGCATTAAGTTTTCAATACTACCGGTTGAGAAATCAAGCGTCAGATGTGAAAGACGATGTTTTAGTAATACAATATTGATTTTATGAAAATCATAATAATTATTTAAACAAGTTTGAGTTGGCACATTAAGGCATTCCAACAAACCATCATTAATATGATGAAAGGAAATGCATATTGATGGATGATAAGGATCCTCAGGTAAACTAAAAGGTGGGCAACGATTTACGTAAATCTCGGGAAAATTGGCAAAGCAGAGATCAAGCAGTCTACCATTACAATTAGGGGTACGATTATATTGAACCAAATTGTGATCAAACAATTCATTAAAGAACACAACAGCCCTATCAGACGTTGAAGTAGGAACCAAGCAGCCAGAATTATCAGTGTTACACCAAGTGACTTGAGGCAAATTGAAGTCACCCAATGCAACGACCAAATCGGTGGGTCTAGACCGCTTGGCCACTTCACAAATGAGGGCAGCGTGTTTCCCGTAAATGGAGATATCAGAATTTGGGGGAATATAGGAGCAGGTTATGAATAGATGTTTATCAGGCATATTCGCACGAATAGCGATAAATTCAACGTCAGGAGAAGTGGGAAATTCAATTAAATTGGACGGGACTGACGCAGATATGGCAATTAATACACCACCACCAATGCGATTTACTCGATCATTTCTAAACACTTGGAAAGAATTATGAAAAAGTTCCGACGAATGTAGATCGGGTTTTAGCCAGGTTTCAGTAAAGGCCAAACAGAAAAATTCCGTGCTCACTGAATTTAGAAAAGTGGAACGAATTTTCGAATTTAGGCCCCTAACATTTTGATAAATGAGAGATAGTGGGCCTGAAGAAACAATTAGTTTTTTGAAGGCGACAAGACTATTGCCTTGGTATTACGGGGACGATCACGAGGGATAAATTCCTTAATTAAGGATCCTACCGGCCACAGTGATTTATTTAACAACATATCACTGTTTTCAGTCGGAACTAATATTTTAAAAGAGGAGATTGCCCTAGCTTGAGAAGGAGCCATTTTGAAGATGCTAACACGCTTTAAGTTGACTGATGGGACTTTCGTCGCCAGATAACCTTTTATGTTATCCACCGATGTTTCAGGTGCCAGTCTTGACACAAATATTGCTTTTCTGGGAGGAACTGCCGTCAAGCAAATGTCATTATTTGGAACAGGAGGGGGGTTCACAGTAGGAGAGTTTCGAGTTGGGGAAAATATAGATGGGGTTATCGCCCTTGTACCGGCAGCTTGTGAGACTTGCCCAGTCTGGTGACCAGCATTCACACGCGAACAGGCAGGAGGAGAGGATGACTTATTTTTCTCTTCATTACTTTTAGGCGATGGCTCTTGATTAGAGTGAGTGGCGGCTCTGGGCGGAGATACCCTTGCCACTTCAGCGTAGCTTAAAACCGATGGACTTGCCGGTTTGTTTGTAACTGTTTTGCTACCAACCGACTCAGCAATATCGGAAACATTACTATTCATTTTAGAGTTAGAAGGAGCGGTAACTTGTACCAACGAATTAGATTTGGAGAAAGCCAGAGGTGACGTCCCACACGCTACGCTACGAGTAGAAGATGAGTGTCCAATAAAGCGACACTCATCAAACCTAGACTTAATGAGCTCAAACTTTTCCCACAAGGAGCCGAGATTTCTACTCAATTCCGAGAAACCATAACGGGTCTCCGTGAAAAGTTTATAAAAGTCAATGTCCCGCTGCCTACAGTCAGGACATGACCATCTTAAGCCTTTAGAAGGATCAGCGACTGCGTCAGCAGCACGGCCGAGAACACCGGCACACTTTGCATGACCGAAGCGCTCGCAGAGCCAACAAGAAACGAATCTTTCAGAATCCGGGCCTGATTTCGCCCGACAAGGTGTATATAAACACTCCATGTCCTGTCAAAAAGACAGTTGTAGATTATGGAGAACAGACACACAAATCACAAAAAAAAAATAAAAATAAAAAAAAAATAAAATAAAAAAAAAAAAAAAATCCTGAATATAAAAATTTATCAACCAATTTGTGCAAAACTTCTCTGTTAGGTTGACACTGTAACGAGAGATCACTAGCAACACAAACTCCAAACAGTAAAAAAAATAACAGAGAAAAAGAGAGAAAACAAACAAAAAAAAAAGAGATTTTTATCAGAGCTCAAAATTTTTGTTTGCAAAACTCAAATGAATCAAATGAAAGCGTAAAAGAAAAATATTTCTTTTACTTTGAATTCACTCACTTTCTTCTCAAAGAATATAATAAAATCACACACTAAGGCAGAATAGCCACGAAATTCAAGAAAAAAAAATTAAAATTTTATTTGCCGACACAAAAAATACACGACTATACCGCGCGACAAAGTTGCCAGACTGTTGATATTATATTGCCAAATATAATATCAACAAACCCATACGCAAGTTGCGAGAAGATATCTGAATTATTTAAAAGGCACTATACACCGGTTATATTTCATATCCGTTACGACGCTGGTGCCTTGTCTCTTACCAAACGGTAAGGCTGTACGCGGATAGGCAGTACGCTTCTTCGCGGACTCTTACGTCTACGTCTGGACGTTGAGGGCCCCTAAAACGAAATTAAATTCGATATTGAAGGGAAAATGCTGTAAAAATAGATCGGCGTATAAACCCTTACCGTATCGCATTCAGTTTGATGTAAATATTGTGGAGCTATATACGAGTAATCTCTGAAGAGACGTTGCTTTGTGTTAAACGGAACTAGACCTTGAGAATCCGGAATTATAGCTTGTTGCGTGAATTCTTCACTAAAATTTTGTGCGTCCTCTTCACTATTTAATTGGGGCTGAATTGACGGCTTTAGTCTTTTGTTTTGTAAATCACTCCAGTTAATGCCACGGAAGAAAGGGTGACTTTTTATATCTCTGGCACATTTTTTATTACCGTTCAGCCGCTTTTTTGGATCCTTTTTTAACATCTTGAGTATAAAATCTTTTGCAGTTTGGCTCAACGTAGGTGGAATTTCGGGATCCATTTTCATGGTACGTTCTGCTATGTCACGTTGGCTATTTGCATTTTCGGATACGCCAAATGGCAAAGTGCCAGTTAACAATTCGTACATAACCACGCCAACTGACCACCAATCAATAGCGAAACCATACGCTTCCCCTTTTATCACTTCGGGAGCCATATATCCCGGCGTACCGCAAGTCCTGTGTGCACAGTAACCGGAGTCTGGGGACAGCACCTTTGAAAGTCCGAAATCCACCAGAATTATATGCCCTTGATCGTCCAGCATAATATTCTCTAATTTTAAGTCTCTGTAAATGATGTCCATTCGATGCAGGTACTCTAGGGCTAACACTATCTCGCCGATATAAATTTTCACTGTATCCTCCGAAAATTCCGAAATATTTTCAAGATACGTAAACATGTCACCCCCCCCGCAGTAATCTTCAGAAAGAAATCGTTTTGAATTACTTCTAAATGAGAAAAATACAAAAACACTTACCTAAAACTAGATATAGCTGAGATTCCGTTTGAAAAGCGAAATGTAATCGTACTACGAAGGGATTTTGTTGTATAATCTCAAGAATCTGTATTGGATGTTGAAAAAATTTTATAGTTTTACTTATTTTTCACTATTTTAAAATTTATTTAGGAAACGCAACGCCAAAGCTTAGATGGAGGACATGAATACGCTAATGCGGATTGGAACAGTTGAACCCATAGAAGGTTTTTGTAGTCAACTTAAATTGATTGCGTATTCGCGCGCGGTACCATCGACAAGAATATATAAATTCTTGACCCGAAAAGTAAAGTAAGAATAGCTAGAAAGCTATTAAAGGTCTTGACAAATAATTCGATCTTATATAACGGCAAGCAAAGCAAATAAAAACTATCGGGGACGATATTACCATTAAATTCACGAATTAAATTCACTTACTTCACGTTCGTTTCTCGCATATTCTGCGTTTTTTGTATTTTCAATAATTTGGCATTTGTTCACGACCTTCATTGCATACAATTTGTTATTCATATTTCCCCCCTTTTTACGTACCAGAAAGACTTTCCCGTAACCTGTTAAATATATTGTAAACGTGTTAGAAAAAAGTTTTGTTTTTGTATTTAATTAGAAAAATGATTGTGTACTCTTACCTCCTGTTCCCAACAGGCATATCACTTCGAAGTCTGCCCGCGTGACTTTTTCATTATCTGTCGCAGAACCTTAAAAGAAAACAAGAACATTATAGCCAAGCAAAATAGACCATTCCATACCACATCCCTATTCCTTAGTACAACTATTCGTTCGTTTTGGTAATAATACATTAAAAATTGCACATTATTTTCAATACGGTATAAAAGTGTACATTATGAGAAAGAAAAAATTTGTGATGGCTTACGTACATAGCGTCTTCACTTGTGTGATCAGTTCTAACTCGGTGCAATCTTCCTTCATTTCCTATAATTTTAAATAAAATGTAAGTCTTTGTTGTTTTAATATTGAATTATCGAAAGCACAACAAAATTTCCAAAAATTGTACAAAATTGTCAAATTCAAAATTCTTCTTCTTCTATCATTCAGCAAACTAACTCTCAAATTCTCTGGTATGTTTAAAAAAGGCAAAGTGTGAATACAGAGTTCTTTTTTTCGGTCTGACTAAAGTTGAGGTTAGAGTTGGTGTATGATGTTATTATTGTGTTATAAAAGTTGAGAGTTGTATCTACTTAGTGTACGTGATTATCAATCTATGCTGCTCGGCTTATACCGCCAGAACTGTCAACTTCTTTCAGTGCCAATACGAGATCGATTAGAAGTTGTCCCTAGCTGGAATTTAGGCCGATGGAACGCCTTTTTTCATATAGCGAATAAAATGCTTCATTAAATTGTTAATTCACAACAATGGTCTTTACTTCATTTTACAACGGCTATTTATACCTAAAATTTACAAAAATATCTTATTGTTGGCGTAAGGATAAAATTTTAACCAATTAATTTAAAGATATTGAAATTGTTAGTGCGGTCACAAACCTTGGTTTTCAACTCAAATCACACTTGAGCGGGGAGGGACATGTAAATTGCATTGTTAAGCGTATTCAGAACGTCTTAAGAAAACTATGGCTTTTCTCGTCTTACGTTCCTATCTTAACTAAATGAAGATTAAATAAATATCTTGTTGTCCCGCTCATATCATACGAAATTTATGTGTACGCTTAATTAGATGACGCTTCTAACCAAAAATTCCAGGTTGTCGTTAATAAGTATGCTAGGCATGTCTTCAATAAGCGCTATCGCAATTCTCGCTGCAGATTTTAAATTCTAATCCTTCGACATATCTTAACAGTAGAAATCTACAATAGAAAATTCAGTTCGCGAGATTTGGACCGACGATGAATCTCATTACCTGGCTGCAAATATTTGGTAACATCAACGTCAACTTATCTTTCGTTAACGCCGTGATGTTATGGAACTGTTATGGAAAATGACTGTTAACCCTTATAGTTCTAAAGTGGCTTTATAATTAATAAATTGTGATCACATCTAAATCTTGTGCTTATGTCTTATATTCCACGATATTTTACACTACATTATTTACACCTTCATCTTTATTGTTGTTAATAATCGTGCCGGAAGAGACTTATAGTCTTATTGGCACATTAATTATTAATTATTGTAATAATGATGGTTGTGTATAATGAACTTATCTTTAACAATTATCACTTACCATTAACGTTTAATAAACCTAACTGAATTGATATTGCCCATAAAAAACAGGAAAACAACCGAATTTTCATATTCAATAATTTTAGAAGGACGCCGTTGATCTTGTCTATTCTCAGAATAAAAGTGAAAATTTATGTAGTGTATGTGTTCATGTTTGCGGCCAGAAGAATGTTTACAATCGACTTCACCTAGAGGGACAGATGGACATGCTTAAATCGTTTCATAACTTTATGCTGGTCAAGAACATATATATATATACTTTGTGGGGTCTCTGAAACTTTCTTCTTTCTTGTGGGCGTTGCAGCCGTTTTGACAAACGAATATACCCCACATCATCCTTCGGTGCATCGAGAATTGCTTCAAATGTTATAGTTAAAAAAAAAATTATTTCAGCACTTTTAAATTTTAAGTAACCGAATTTTTTTTTTTTACTTTCTTTGTATACGTTATTCGTATGTGATAATATCTTCGATGATTTGCTACTTTATCGACAAACTGTTTTCGTGTGAATGTTTTAACTTTTTTCGAAAAGACGGCTTCCTTGTGCTTCCGGATCAGTTCGTTGAATTAAATATACTAACAAATCGTTGAAAATACATTTGAATCTAGTTTTGTTTGCTGTTTCCCCACATTATCTAATCCTTCCTCTGCTTTTTCTAATTTATTTTTAAGTTAAACATAAATAAGGTACAGAAAAATTAATATTTTATTGAATTGTTCTTTATTTAAGAAAAAATTTGTAAGTTTATGTGCATGAGCAAAATTGCAACTTGAGTCTCATCCATAAAGGCATTTGAAAGCAACAAATAAGCAAAATGTAACTTAATGAAAGCTGTCTTTACACCGAAAAAAAAAGGAACAAAAATGTTTCATAGAATAAATAAAAACTCTTTGAGTTTTGTTACATTCAGAGGTCTGTGTGTCTGTATTTTTATAGGTACATATATACATAATGGATCAAATTCGCTTTATGACGTCTTCTAAGGTCTAAGGTCTATTGTAACCTAAACCTAATATGTTGCGTGCCTGCAAAATGGAATGGATGGATGCATATATATTAGTAAATAGTAAAAGATTACTTTTGTTTCTTCTTCTCACCGTTATAAATGCAGAATTTAAAGAATTTTTAAACGTTTGCGTTACGTCCTCGGTTTGTGAAAATATGATTTGCAGCTGACCAAATTCGTCCATACGGTTTTCTAAAAACACCCAAGTGTTGGTATGTTGCGGAGACTTGTCTTGCAACATATACAGTTCAGTCATTTTCATAACAGTCGCCAGACCGATACGTCGTGTATACCACTCAATCTTTAAAAAGGCAAAAAAAATAATTTTAATTCTTTTTTGAAGATAAAAGTAATTATCTGAAACTTACATCTACCGAACGATCACCTGAGTAATAACAAATGTCATCGACTAGAGTTAACAATTGCGCCAAACTAGTTGCAGCATTTTGAGGTAGAGCTATTAATGCTATAGCCTGAGCCCACTGGTTTTTATAAGGTAGGATCATTTCCAAACGTATTCGTACAAATTTCACTAGGAATTCTATATGATTGTGAACTGCTTTTCGGCCGTTCTCAGTCTCCGTTTTCATTTGCGTTAGCAACTCCTCATTGCATTTGCCGATAAAATAAGATACTAAAGCGAAACCACCTTCGGGAAACATTCCATGCGCCACACCGGAAAATCCAATTTCTTCTGCTCCCAGTATAATTGTTTCACGAGTCCAACCTGACGTAGGGACATGTGGCAAAGCTGCTTCTAGTATTTTGATACGTATGGCATTTACTTTAGTATCATTTGAATCGTCCGAGGACTCTCTAATTTTTTCGCGTTCACGCTCTTCAAATTCCTCTTCCCTTTTCTGTTCACGCTCTCTGAATTCATCTAATCCAGGCTTTACAGGATCGTTAGGTGTCTTGGAACAAAAGTGTCGGTGGTGAGAGGTTTGTACTTTAATTTGTGAAATTACTTGCGATGAATGTCTTGCTTTGTAATCGGCCGGTGGCATGTAGTTGGACTGATGGGCAAATGATAGACTTCGATATATAGACCGAAAATTAATACCTGTTAAAAGACGAAAATAAAAGTCGTTTAAATTCGTTTTTGTTATTATTCTTACAACTAACTCTGCACGCATCATATAGACGACTAAGTTCGCCGAAAACTACAATTGTATTGCACAGCATTCGATTATTGTTCCCATTGCATTAAACTTTTTGTTCAGAGTGCCAAGCTGATTAGAATTATTTTCAGACCTAATAGATAAGATTGGCTAAAAACTTCTATCTAAGCTGTACAAGAAGAATTAAAAACCAATAAAACACCTTTTCATTCGTTAGTGAAAAAATTTTTTTTATTCCAATTAAAAAACCTTCACCACATTCTTCTCTCGATCACAGTTTCCAGTTTCATCAACATTAGGACGCAAAGATGGATTCTCTATACATTCGGTGACACGTGCCAGAAGACTGGTTATTAAATCGAATGTACACAGATTTTGATTTAATATACACATCTTTTGCTGTCGATTTAATTCAAGATCATGTTTGATGCGGCTACTCTTCTCATTAGCTATGGAAATATCTAGCAGTTCTAGTTGCTCACGTTGTTCCACTTCTTCCTTAGCATCAGTAACGTTTTCTATATGCTTTAACTCCGATTTATAATGTGCAATTGACAGATTTAAGGCTTCCCGCAAGGGACGCAAATAATTTTTATTAAGATCATCAATGAAATTCCAAAAGCCAGTGAGATTGGTATAATCTTTGAGGGCAAAAAAACGTAATGCATTCAACGAAGAAATGATCTTATCAGAATACTCTAAAATATCAGTTTCAACACCATTTGCTAAACAGCAAATATGTCGCTCAAATATTGTGCGAAAGTGCTGCCCAGATAATGTGCTGGGCAATTGACTTATAGCAGGATTTGTCAATGCATTAGCTACCAAATCTTTGTAAATAATAGCCAAATAGCCGGTAATCCCATGATGCCGAACGGAACGCATGAGATTTTTAAGCACCGAATATTTGCCTTCGTCGTCGAATTGTAAAATATACTGACGCAAGATTCGTACACCCGTTTGCCTCAGGTAAGTAAGCGATGAATAAGCGACAAGATTACAAAGCGTTTGACAAAATGATTTGTATAAATCAATTTCCAAGAAAACCGCAGGAATTTCCGCATTTCCTAATTGCTTTAACAAGCAATCGACCAGTTTCAATCCTTTTTGTTGAAGAGGCGGTTCATCGTTGCCCATTAATTCGTGAGCCAAGTACAAAGTTGATTCGAATACGAACATTGGATTATAAACTAGGTAAATTTTATCTTTGTCAATGCCCTCCACCAAAATCATATAATAATAAGTCGCGATACAATTCAAAGGCAGTTTTTCATCTATAAAAAATATATTGTTACTCATTGATCCACGTATTCTCTCCTTTCCTTGCAAAGTACCCATAAAACGGAAACGATCTTCGACTAGAGTTAAGAAAAAATATGGATCTCCTATACATCGAGTTGTGGCTTTTGTTAAAGAAACAGCACATTGTAAAGTGTAAGTATTAGTTTTGCGACTCTCTTCCCCGCCGTGAAAATTCAGCATAGAAAAAGGCTTTCCTAATAGAGATAACAAAAAACAACAGAGCACATTACGTCTGTTGATATCGCAGGAACGAAAAGGTTGTTTTTCGAACAAAGAAGAGTGGCATATACCATTCAGCAACGGCTCGTAGAATAGACCTACAGTTATATAGTGCAATAATAATGTTTGTATTTTATCATTTTGTTCCAGTAATTTCTCTTGTTTTTCATCGTAACCTTCTCTTAGAAAATCTGGTATGGGTAATTCATCTAATCGAGTTTTTATTGAGTTCAAACTCCATTCTAATGCTCGGGGTTTCTCGTTACCCTGACGCATTATAACTACCTGCAAGGCTCTTAAAGCTGACGTGAACACGTTTTCCGACTTATGCTCTTCGATGATTTCAAGTAAGTCCAAAAGTAATTCTTCGGCCGGTGCGTAAGTAGCCACAATCTTAAGTAATTCTTCTACGCAACAATATAAAGGCAAATTTTCTTTATGATTTTTTTCGTTTAACTGCTGTAAACAAATATCATGGAAAACGTCCATAGCAATCTCCGGCATACATGAAATATTTTTTTGTGCTTCGTTAGCATTAGTAAACAGTAGAGCTACTCCATCGTATTGCTTTTCTTTAATCAGCTGTTTGATTAATTCCTTCAGGTTTTCAGCCGGTGTCATATTGTTCACATTTTGTAAACTTTCTTGTTCAAATGACATTTTTGTTTTTGTAGCCAAATATGTGTTATTTTTTAATAATATTGTAATTCTAAAATTTTGAATTTTTATTTTTTTATTTTTTCACTTGAAGAAAATTTTCTCTTCCAACTCTCTACATAGTCAGATTTTTCTATTCTTATTCTTCTTCCTCTTTTTCTCACATAAATATTGGCTTTCGTAATAAACGTCAAACCGAACCACAGATAACTATGTGTTTATTTTTACTTGAACTGGAAATTCTTCGATTGAAATTTATTTAATTTTTAAGTAAAAAACTTACTTTTATTATTAACTAGCTTAGCCAGTTGCATGAATTTAGATAAACTACTCAAATTCGCCATATTTCACCACAAACCGTTTTGCACTAAAATAATAAAAATAAAAAAAATTATAGTTGGCGAATGTCAATAAAACGACAACAAATTGAACGTTGCCAGAATTTGCGCGACATACATTCCAAGGGCATTTGATAGTAATGCAAATAATCAATCAGAAAATTTATCGGTT